ACTTTGTCAGGACCAGGTTAGGGAGCAATTAAATGTGCAGTTATGTTGGCAGATCTGAGGGCAGCTGGATCAGAAGCAACACATCTGACCATGCTCTAAATAAACATCTGTCCAAAGCCTTAGTCAAACAGATGTGGAGAAAAAAAATTTACCTATTAAGTCTTGAAGTGAAAATATAATTTACAAGAAACTGCATGTATCAAATTTTCTTCCAAGAGATGCAATCACTAATTCATGAGGTTATAATTTTCTATGGTCGTAAGTGAAGTATCTAGTAGATCATTCAGGAAACCAGGACATACTTTAGATGGATAGATCCATGCAGTTAAGTATTTTGTGTTCTGCCGGGACACTGACAACTCCACAGGGTTGTGAACTGCTTGCACCAACCTGAACTGAGTATATTCTAATCAACTCTGCAAATTGCTATTATTAAGAATTGAAAACTTCTGGTTTCAGATTGCAAATTTACTTGGTTTAGAGCTGATAACTCTGCAATGCTACAAAATAATTGAGTATTTCTTGTCCTGCAATTCTGACTGCTTGTCTCCAAACCATTTCTTATGCTAGTACAATATTTTGCACAACCACAGTAAGAACTGCTGCAGGTTAATACTGATGGGGCAGTGCAGGACCTGCATCCTGGGCCACTTCACCACAAGGCAACAAAAATGTGGATGCTGGCAAAAAGGGATAGAAGGTGCAGAAGTATGAATAAGCAACCAAAAACACAAGTCAGTCAAAGGTGCTTCATTTGACAGCAGTACTGGTCTAAAACGTACGTGAAACTGCATCTTCAATCTAACTTCTGGAAAAAGATTATTTAAAATCTAGGTGACATACAAAACAGAATACTCAGGAGCAGGAACAGGATTTGTACTATTGCTGATGTGCAGATATATTGAGATGGATAATAGCATGGACTAATCAAAAAGCATTTTCTCATCCCTTTCTGATGTTCAACACTTCAGATAACTCTAATCTCCTTTGTTTGAAAAACCAAAGTAAATAATATACACAAATTGAAAGTGCTCTTTAGAAATGCAGAAGTTCACTGCCGACTTGACTCACGAAACTCTGTTAAGACATATATATACAGTCTCACACACTGTACGACTGTTGCAGAGTTGAACACTAAAAATTGGCAATTGAGCATGACCATAAAGAACGGAGACTTTCCCAGCTAGTTTGAAAATGTACCTACCTCAGTTATCCCCCAAACACTTTTTGATTTGATTTATGTTCTGCTGCTTTAAAAGAAGAAATGGGTCAATATGAAATAATGCACATACTTGTATAGTGGATATTTATACCCAAAATAAACTCTTCTCTTGGGAGAATATTTTTAAAGCAGCATTTCAAGTCTCCTGGCAATGGTTAGTTAGAAAAAAGTTATTTATTTATTTAGAATAAAAGTTCTCAGAAATTTTTTAACCACCAACGTTTAGGATGCTGGGAGTAAGCTTAGTAATTCAAGTTTCTCCCTTTCCCCAAAATTACTTTTCACTGCATATAGCATTTAGTATTCATACATGCAGAGGAATGCAGAGCATGAATTAAGGCAGAGAAAATCATACTTAAGAAATGTATGGGCTATTTTACAAAAGATGATATGCATGCACAAAGCAATTCAACTCACTACATGCTGTTGAGTCTAATAAGCCTGAAAACAAAACACATTGCCTTGTCCACTCAGACTTTTCCTATTGCACCTACAGTTTTAATATTTGGCATACAAGTATCAACAATTTATGATTTGCATTTTCTCCAACAATGAAGTAAGAAACACTGTATAAATACTGTTTTCCCTCAAAACACAGTATTTCTGTTATACAGACTGTGAAATAGAAAAACATATTTAGAGGTTGAATATGGTCTGTGGCTCTTAATTTTTTCATTAAATGTAAAGACCTCTTTGCAATTATGCATCTGAAGCTTCATTCTGACTAATAGAGTGAAGCCCACCATTTTAGATTCAACCACAGATTTCTTAAGGAAGTGGCAAACCATTGCTGCTAGTTGAGAAAATGAAAATTAGTCCCTAGGAGAGGATACAATCAATGGTGTGTTAATCTAACCTTCAGCTGTTAATGATTTGCACTACTATTTCCCCTGATGCTGTGGGTTCTGCTGAAATATTGTTTTAGCAGTTTCTGTCAGCTTTAAAAGGGAAAGACTGAAGTGAAAGTCTTAGCAACAGATTTTGCAGGAGCTTTCCTCCTCCCCGCCTTTCTCTTCTGTCCCAGTTCTTTAACACCATGGAAGCAGAAAACAGAAGGACAAACTGTTCCGTCTTTTCAGTTCAAGCCTTTTTAGCCAGTCTATTATTCACAATTCCTCTTACTTACAAAGGAGGTGTTATACTAAGCAGTCACCATTAGAATTGCGATATTAACCTGCAATTAAATAATTTAGAATGTCCATATTTTGCCTGCTTTTTTCACATTCAGCCAGAAAGTTAAAAACTTTACAGAACTCTTTTTGGAAAGAGCTGCTGAGGAGAGTGTTGTATTTCCAGCCATGAGAGCTGCACAAGCAACCTAAAGAGACTTCTTGTGATGGTGTAGCGGTAAGTGTACCAACCCCGCAGATTTGCCTTATCCTTTGAAGTTTGTGTTCTTCAGGATCATTTGGTTCACTCAATTGAAACAACTTTACAAAATAATTCTTGTCCGAAACAAAACTGCATAGCCCGCAGGCCAAATTCTGCAGCAAAGTACCGAGCGCCAAAATCATAAAAGTACTCAGCACCTTGCAAAGCTGCATTCCACACACACAATGCTGGTTTTCTTAGCAAGCATTTCTTCCAGGAATAAGTGCATCTGAAATATTCTAGTACTCTTAAACTAAAGCCAAAAGGCCTCACAAAATCATCCACTTTACATGTATCACAGACCCCTTGTTTAACTTAATCAGTCCTGAATATTTCAGATACTTAAAAAAAAAAAAAAAAAAAGTATTTCACATGGTAAACCGGTGAAGTATATGACTGACTAGAAAATCTGAGTTAAGCTGAAGAAGTGACATTTGAACTATTTAATTATTAGCTGCATGCAAACTAGAGTAAGCCTTTATTAGGGTTGTGTGGTGGTGCACACAAGTCTCTTGATAAGTATTATATGATAAATATAGTATAATTATTGATTATTTACAGCTTAAAATATAATTAAAAAATGAATGTTACTCCTTCAAGATCATGCTTACAAGTCATTAAAAGCAAAAAAATGGTCTGAATACAGGAGATATATACTATACACTAGCTGCAAAAATACCTTTACAAAGTTCTTAAATAATTTAGTACTTAATGTTTAAAGACATTACCTTATGTTTGAATACTTCTCGTGCTGAAAGCTCGTGCCTCTTATTTGCAGATATATGAAGAGTTTTGGAAGAGACATTATTTATCTACTAAGCTCCTTAAAGTGTTTCAGCCATGGTATCTGCTACTGATAACTAACATAATCCATCACAAATCGTCTTTGCGTCTAATTTAAAGGCGCAGACATAGACCTTGTCAAAACTTGTCTTGATTAGAAAGTTAAAAATAAATAAATAGAAGTCAAGTAAATGTCAAATGTTCAACAGATCACAAAATGGGTGATTTACACATTTCAGAAAGTGTGTGCTACTTGCCAGAAGGCATAATTTTTTTGTTGCTGCACAATTTTCATGTATTTTATCAATAACCTGGATCGAAAGAGATTTCTGATAAAAATTTCTATGACAAGACCCAGGGATCTTTAAGTAACAAAGACAACGTTTTATGGATTCACACTATTTCAGGACAGCCAAATGTACAATCCATGTATTTCTATGCAGCCAAATATAAGAACATACTGCCTATGAATGAGGAATGCAAGCCACAGAATCTAAAAAAAAAAAAAAAAAAGGGGAATGAAGAATAGCTCAAAGGACCTGGGATATATACAGAGAGGAACAACAAGTAGAAATAGAGAACAAACGACAAATGACTTCATTATTTGGCACTGATGTAGTTATTTCTGAAATATGGAGTCCATTTGAGACATCAACACTAAGAATGCTGAAAAACCTGCATAGGATTCAGAAAAAGGGCTGTGGGAATAATTCAAATCCTTGAAAATACACCACATAGTCAAATTCAAACAATAGAAACTTTTCTTCATGTAAGCAACAGATTATATGCAATTTGATGGTAATCTGTAAATTCATACATGGAGAATAGAAATGTAATCACATTCTAATCAAAAAGATGTAACAAAACACATCATCTTGAAGCTCATATGAAAGGCAGATCTAAAGGATTATATTTTTCAGAAGTAATTAGGGCTCCTGAAAAACACTCAGAGCAATTCGCATAAAGAATTTTCTGGATTCCCTGTTACTGGATATTTCTTTAATCCACAATGGATATTTCTTTAAAACACAACTCTGTTCACCATGAACTAATTCAGGTAAATCTTATGACCTTCACATCGGAAGGTAGATTAGATGACCACATCTGCAATAATTTTCTCAGGCATTAAAACCTATTGATGTCAAAATCAAGATTATAACTGAGTTCAAAGAACTTTGTATCACATGCATATTCGCAATTCTATCAATCTGGTTATAAGCACACAATTTGATTTTTTAAAGGCTAATGAAAATAATGCATTTGGTTTGTTGTTCTTGTTTTGTTTTCTTCTTTCTGAAGTTTCATGAAAGAAAACTCAGATCTTAACAGTCTAACATAAGATATGGTCAAGACAGCTGAAGCCCTAGAATCAGCAAAAGGTGACAACAAAGATAACATATAGGATTAATATAACTGGAGCTGGAAAATATCCTGCAAGTATCATATTTAGCCTTACAGATTAGAAAGACATTTACATGCTTTATGCATCTTTAATTTAGCAAAGTAAAATCCAGATACCTTGTTTAATCATTTTCAGTTAGCAATAACTTCAATATCTAATTCTCTTTTCTTCCTTCTTAGTGATTAAAAAACAATCTTAAGCTAATGTAACACCTATACTTACTCTGGCAGTTGAGACAGGATACCTAAAGAAAGAGAATATATGCCATCATTGATCCGACCTGACAGCTTACGCTTCTGAATCCAGCTGACAGCAAACTCCAGCGCAATAAAAGCAACAAAGAATGGAATGCTCTGCAAAACAGTTTGAAGAAAATAAGTCACAACACAACCAGAATTAGAACCAGCTTTCCTAACAGCAGTTTATACAGCTGGATACTTCTTGGGCTGGCTGGCACCTTACTAACTGCTACTATGATAAAGCTCCACATGGACCTTATGAATCAGAACAACCAAGGCCACCATTTAATCCACAACACAGGCACAAATCCAGTGTACTCACCTTCTCCCATATTATTTTATTTTGTATCTTCTGCACATAAATTGTTAAATGGCATCAAAACAAAACACAAAAGTATTTCCAAACTGATATTTCTCACATTCAGGTAAATCTGTGAGAGCAGCAACATTTGTGGACTCCTCTAACCACAAGGTAAAATAGAATCTGCTTTCAATTTGGTACATAAGTGCGTTTTGAATGTGTTCAGCCACTGAATTTGGCAACCAAGAATATCATCTGAAAGACACAGTAAAGTGAGTTTCTTTCTACTCAGCATTTCTGTAGCCATGCTTTTTGCTGCATGTATCTACAGCTCTTCTGACTGCATTTTCATCAGAGTAACTGATGAAACTATGTAACAGGAACTATGCAGCCTATTCCAGTTTGCGCCACACAACACATTCTCATAGCAATGATACGTTATTCCCTTTTTCCTTTTGTAGTAATTGCAAAACAATTTTCTGCCTTTCTGAAATAAAATATAATGATGAGCAAGAGTGAATCATTTTTCACTCACAACACTGCTTCAGTCTAGGACTCAGTTCACACTGTCCAACTGGCAAGTTGAAAATGTACGACAGCAGCACCCAGCAGATGAAGGTATGGCTGTGACTAGTGGTAAGACCACTAAAATTATTGTGAAAATACCATTTTTCATCAGTGGAGAAAGACTGTTACAGCTGTTATCACATTTTTATCAGCACAGACAAGAAAAAACATGTTTGTTTATTGACCCTGAAGTCCTAACAGGCCCTACACTTCGTGAGGGGAAAGAATGAAGAGGCAGTGGCAACATACCAGCCGGCAACATCAAAATGTAGAAGGCCTGTGGCAAGGTAAATAGGAACAATCTATTTTACATGCATTGGATCTGTGTGCATGAATGTTCCTTCAACTGCCCCCTCGCTCTGTATAAAACATTTAGATGACCTTGGAGACATTCACTGGCAGTATTAAGGCATAAAATTCCCACCATGTTTTGCAGGGCAAGAGAAATGCTGGACCAGCAAGACTTTCTGCACCACTATGGGAGGCATCAGCTGCCAAACCTGCCTGCTAGTCATCTTCCGCTGCCCCCTTCAAATGACCTGCAAACACATAGAGATTTCCTGACTGAAGCCCTCCAAACTGTAGGCTTGCTGTAGAGGAGAGGCTGCTCCTGCCTATACAACATTTTAATGGAAGAAGCATGTTGTCTCTGCAAATGCTGTTGCGTTTTGGAGGGTGCTCATTTTTGTTGCCAAGTGAGATATCTGGGAATTCCTACCAGGCTGGGACACTAAAGAGACTAAAATGGATATAGACCAGATTGCTCAGTCAAAGAAGAATTGGATGATTCAAACCATGCAAGCAGCGAGAGATTTATAGTGTCTAGGAAATGTGAAAGTTCATAAACTTCAGCAGCTCAGGGTTAGGTTACAATAACAGACGAACAGAGATTAATATCAACATGGCACTTTTTAATTTAGCTGCCTAGCTTGCTTTTTAACAGCAGTTTAGGCTTCTAAAAACCCTGTGTTGGATATGTGCTAACTGATGATATAAAAACCTGTGGAAGCAAAGACTATGGATAAAGCCTAACCAGCACCCAAGGGAGGGGAAGGGGAGAGGCAAACCCCACCACCCATTTTTAATCACTGAAACATTCTAGGAAGATATAAGTACTCCTTGTTTTGATTAGGTGCTTCATTTCTGAGTAGACAAGACCTTTAATGTCTTAATTGATGTAATTAAAGAACAGATTTCTAACTTATCAAAGGTAGGTGACCATAGTTGTACATTCCAGCAGAGATAAAAAAGGTCTTATTAAGAACAATTAAGAAACACTTCACCACAACATCAAGAGACAGGTCTAGCACAGACTACAGGCAGTTTGAAGTTAAGGAACAGCAGAAGCTGCATAGCAAATTGAAAGGGCTCACGACAGAGAAAGTGGAATGCTTTATTCACGGAATGAAAACTGTGAATTGAAGATATATGATGCCTGTATTCTGTGTGGCAATTCACTTAACCTAGCAACTTCTGAAATGGTTAAAATACTTGACTTTATACTAATACACACTAACGTAACTTCTTTCCCATTGACTTCATTAGATACTTTCTTCCCATTGTGAAGCTGTGAGATAGCCAAGTATTTGACAGCACTTTTTGACTCACAAGTAGGGAGTGTCATAACAAAGAGGATAAGCATCCAGACAGCCTTAACCTCCTGCCCATCAAGGAGCTTGTGAAAGGAAAGATCTATGGCATACCTCCAAGTATCTAAGAAATTACTACCTCTCTCCCACATACCCACATTGAGCTTTGTCTAAAGCAGATCAAAAGGATCAACTATGTCAAGACTAGTATGTGTTATTTATGTGACCATAACACCCAGCAGCTATTGTCATGGAGTAGGATTGTACCATGTTAGATGCCATACAAACAGAAGGACAAGGCACTCCCTGTCCCAAACAGCCTACAGCCTAAACACGAAATGAAAGATGATGAACTCAGGAAAAAGGAGGCAGTAAAATGGACAATAATCCCACTAGTCTAATGACTACTTGTTTAGGGTTTCTTTTTAAGTTGAAGTGTCAATAAAGACATTTAAGGAACCCACTAAGGACAGGTAGCTCTACAAAACTTATCAGATTGCCCCTACAAACTAAATGGCAGAAATTTAAGAAATAGTCACTGTTACCATCACAGGTCAGAGACAGAAGCTGGACTCTTTTGATATTTTCTGGTCTATAACTGTTTAACACTCTGTTTGCAGTCTCTTTCTCTTCACTCATCACCAGAAATACTTAATGGCGATTTGCATTAGCTTGTGGTTTACTTGAATAACTACTCTATAACTTGGAAGTCTTACTGTGAGCACTAAGAGACTTTCCCTTATAAGTAACCAACTCTTGCAGTATGCAAGGGTTCATCTAAAATCAGTTTCTGCTTTACACAGTTGCAAAAAATAATATTCTAAGTTGAAACTCAGCATAAAATCATGGTTTTATTGCAAGTCATGAAACAAGTTTCTGTTTTTTTAAAGTCCCAAGTCCTTATAACATAAGAATCTCAACTTTCATATAAAACTAAATGCGAAGGTTCTGTGCCTCATTATTTAGAAGCAAAGCCTAAAATGTGAATTGAGTGCAAATGTGCGCTTAATCTTTAAGCTCTCAAAAGCAGATAGTAAATAGAAAAGAAAAACAGTGATTATTAAACCTAAAGCTGTCATTCTGAGGCTCTCAGAAAAAGGAACAGTGCTTTCTCCTCCTATGGCTGACTCATGAAAGTCTTTACTGAGCATAAGTGATAATTTCAGAATGTAGCAAGGAGCAAAGTGAAGTTGTTGTTGTATATAAAAACTATATTCAGCATGCAAAAAGCAGCACTCCATCTGCCCATCTGTAGACTATGAGAGAATCAAAAAAAACTAGCGCATGCAGAGCATAATATTATATCCATAGCAAAGAGCACACTCATGAAAGGACAGGGCAAGCATCAGTATACATGATAAGAGTCAGAATGTTCTGCCCTGGAGAAAGACAATTGACTTACGCTTTCCCTTCTATTGCCTGAAATACAGGAAACTCAAGGGTCTCCAATTCTAGATGACAAAAGCTTGCATAAAATCAAATTCTATGGCTCTAGGATTTGATCCCCTTTTCCCAGAATTTTGGAGATTAGTTGGAAGGGTGACTTCTCCATGGACACTGGCACAGAGCTTTGTTTACTAGTCACTGGTAGCTGATCAGCTCATGTTTTAAACAGGATTTGCAGCCTTCACATACAGCTCTGCCAACATAGAGAGCATGATGCAGGGACCGGGAGAGGAGCTGTCCTGCATCCTCTGAACATGGAAGTAGTATAACCATAGCCAGAAAGTACATCACAAAAGTTAAGCAAACTATTCTGAAAATCAGCTCTGAAAATCAGAGCTGCTTCACTCACTGCTGTTATTTGCTGCCCAGATGTAACAGCACAGCTAATCTGCTCAAAGGAGCTGCTCCTACAAAGTACATATATTTTGTAGATCACCAGTGCTCATTTTTGCAGATCACTAGAAACATGAATATTAGAGTGAATTATGAGGTTCTGACACCTGCCTAATGTTGGAAGGTACATATCAACAGCTGTAGCCATGTGATCTAATGTACTAGAAATGCCCTCATCCACCTGATAAATGATAGATCAGAGCTGAGATATAAATACCACTTCTATATGGTGTCTCAGAAAAAATGTTTAGGAGACACGAATGTAATCAGTAGTTTGTTTCACACCCCCATCATTGTTACTGTCTTCTAAAGTGAATTATTTGAGCCAAGGCCTTCATTTATTACCATCTCTGCACTAGGAATTTTTTGTTCTGTGTTGGGCTGAGCTCAGACATGCACTTCTGTATTTGTAGCAACTCAAGGGGTTACCACTCCAAGCCCCCTGTGATGAATGGCTCATCAGGTCACTATTAAATCAGCCCTGCTGAATCCAATGGATCTGTTGTTCTTGCAATAGTTCCATTAACAGTCTAAGAGAAGCTGCAAGACCAATAAGTCAAATAAACAAGTGACAAGCAGCTGGAGAGGGACTGTAGATAGTTGCCTTCTGACCACAGACAGAAGTGGCATCTGTCCATGCCATGTGGCATCTGTCTGCTTACCTGATCCAAAAGGGCGATGTTTGCCAATAAGAGGCATCAGCAGGGGGCTGCTGGCACACTAAAATTCCCAGAAAGCTGCTGATGGTGCTGCAGGGCTCTACACAATCCATGACACCCCCATGGCAGCCCAACAGCAGCTGCTATACAGCAGGCCAAGGTTTACCTGGCGAAGGAGTTAATCAGAGCCACGAGGACCTGTGCAGTAAGTGTGGATCTTCAGTGAAGTTATACTGAATTTACTTTGACAAGAGCAAAACAGTGTTTACATGCTGTCTCTACGAAAAGCTCACATTGGTCCTGGTTCAACCAAGGTACGTGAAATAGGTAAGACAGAAGGGAGCAAAGGTACCTTCACGGAAGTGGATAAACTGGCAGGGCAGGAGGGGAGGGAGGGATATGCTGCTGCCTGCTGACAAGGGAGTTCTCACCCCTGATCTCTGTACTCTTGTCTTGAAGCTTTAGGACACAACACTGTCCCAACACAAATATTTGCTCTCAATTCTCTTAAACAACATTTATTTTTCACTTTAAACAGAAATTTTTATTTTTCTTTCTTTTCCTGAGCTTGTAGCACTTTCCTTAAGTGCACAAAGAGACCTGACTTTCTGCTTAAGAACCGTAATAGCCAAACACAGTATGGGGTTTTCCATTTTTCACAGCTCAGCGTGCTGTCACTATATCCAGCAGCACTGCCAATCTGAACAATATTAGCATCTACCCTCAGATATTTGGGGTGCTCCTCTGAAAACTTTAGCTTCTGGTAACAGGAGAAACATCTGAGCCCTTACTTAAAATACATTAAAATAAGAGTGCAGGGTTACATAGCTTACAAAGGCAGCTTGCAGGCAGAGAGCCCAGGAGTGGAAGCAGCCAAAGACAAGGTATTTAATTTTAATTTAGGTGCCGTTTCGCGGACGTTGTTGCCTTGGGCTCCCTGCGTTACCTGCAAACAGGCAGGCGGCAGCTGCGCAAGCTGCGCGCAGGGGACGGCAGGGAATGCTGCCGGGAGGAGGAGGGAAACGGAGTGGCTGCGGCTCTCACCTTCTCCACGTAGCCGGGCACCTCCTCCACC